ACCAAAAAAATGATGGACAAGGTGAGTGCTCAGTTCCAACACAGCGTACAAGAACTAATGCAGTTTGTGTGTCTTGTCTGCTATTTTGTAAGGGATCAAAGATAAAGCGAATTAATTGGAAGCAGAAAAATCTTAACTTGCTTCCCCCCTGCACATGCGTTTCACTTTTCTGTAGCCACACTCTAAATTCATATCTCTCGTTGTCTTTGTGTTTTGTAGGCGGAGTTTGTGCACATGTTGAATGCAACCATGTGCGCCACCACACGTGTAATGTGCGCCATCCTAGAGAACTACCAAACTGAAGAAGGAATCATTGTTCCAGAGAAGCTCAGGGAGTTCATGCCTCCTGGTAAGCTGTGCTGGCTTTCTTACCTGCTTACTGCACCTAGAGACTTTTGATGTTAATGCACACTATCATCCCAACTGCGTTTGTCTCCATATAATACTTAGCATTTGGAACAAATTTCAAATGCTTAGCAGCTTTCTTAGAGGAAATAAAATTGACATTTTTGGAAGTGCTGTCCTGCTGAGAGGTACATGTTAACATCCATACCCGTCAATCGTATGTGTATCCAACACTTGATCACAGGGACTGACTGCTACCTTGCCTCTGATTGTTTATATTAGAGATGGTTAGTTTAAAGGCTCAAGGCTTCCCCCTGCTGGCCATTTAAAAAAAAAATTAAGTTTAAGAAACGTGACCACAGACTTCACTTCTCATACCCAGAAGCTGCATCCATGCTTTATATATTAATTATTAATTATTATTATTATTATTATTTATATTATTTACTTTATATGTAGTCTGTGCGTCATTAACATGACGGTAAGATGGTTGGAAAAACAAGGGAAAATATGTTTTTAAGACAAGAAATAGTCATGTAAAATATTGAATATATTAAATGTTTGTTTTTGTTGTTTTTCCCATCTTCAGGTTTGACAGAGATCATTAAGTTTGTCAAGCCAGCTCCCATTGATCAGGAAATGTCCAAGAAATCAAAGAAACAGCAGGAAGGAGGGAAGAAGAAGAAGCAGGGAGGAGGCGGCGGAGACCAGAACCTGCCCGATGCCATAGAGAACATGTCCGTGAACGATTCGTAGACCCCGGCACACAGCAGCAGTGTCGCCTCACCAGCCTCACAGATGCACACTAATAGAACAGAGTGTTGCTTGAATTGTAATGATCAGGGATTAGTTTGTCACGTCTCACAAACTAAACCTGAAATTGGCACTTAACGGTAATGTGAACGCTCGGCTCTGTTCCATCTGTGTCTGTCTGAGTGGGTGGTGTTATGTCATCTCATCATTCACATAAAGCTTGCCACAAAAAGGGATCCTTTAGTCAGCCATCCCCAGGTCACTTCACGCCTCTGTCACTGTATGAACTCATCAGCAACACGAAGCCTAAAACCAACAGATAAAGCACAGCTGCCGACACCTCATGGAGCGTGTCGGCAGCTGTGCTGAGAGTCAGGCTTCTTTTCTGACTATTTCTGTCATTGATTTGATACAAGCAGTCTTTTGGGAATATGTTATAAAAAGTATGTTTGCAGGATGTCGGGCATTGTTCGTAATGTGTTCAAAAACTGTCTGAACTCACCGTTTGTTGACTGTGAGAAGTAAATGGTTGGGTATTTTAACTGTCTGGTGTAGGCTTCTCTTTGCTTTGTCTGACCACAATCATAATTTTCATCCACTGTTTAACACGATGCTCTTCTCCACCTCGAGACGTTGATGTTTCCTGTATGTACTTGCTAAGATAAATATATATAATTGCGCATTGATGAAGTGGCACGCACTGTAAACAATAAATACAGTTGATATGGAAGTTCTTGTGTTTGTTTGTTTTTAAGTATATGCACAAAGCAGACTAGATCAGTGGTGATGGTAATGTGACTAACCACACAGCAAGCCAGGCTGTTTATTAACCAATTACATTCAAAATGCTTTAATAGGCACCAAGTTCACAAAGTGGAGAGATCTGGTTTAGGAAGTCAAATTAGATGGTGTGTCAAAAGGTTCAGGGTTTTCCTTTAATTTGTCACCAGTCTGGATTTTCTAATACTGCAGAGGTGTTAGGGTGTGTACTACCACATGCCGCATCCCCAGTTTCACTCTCAGCCAGCGGCACCTTTGTTACCTGTGTTTACTCGTTTACTGTCTGTTTCTACAGCAACTATTCAATTACATCCCAAAAATAAAATATCTTAAAGAAAAAGCTTAGCTAAGCAAAGAGAAGAGTCAGTCTATCTCTACTTTAGAACAGTCCACACATATGTATGTATTTATATTTATTATTTAATTCTTTTTGTCATGATCTTCGTGTCACGAAAGCTTTTAAACACAATAAAACATCTTGCTTAGATGTCCGGCTGGCTGGTTATCAGATAGATGTGCAATAAGCAATAAGGAAGACAAATCAGTTATTCATTAACTCTGACAGACTTTACACTCCCCTGCAGTTGGAAGCCAATTCACTCCGTTTGCGGTATATTTACAAAAGGTAAGAAGAAATCTACAGCACTTCTTTTCTTTATATAGTTGATTAGATAATTTGTATAATATATATTTATTTAAATCTAATTTATGTCTGTCTTAGACAGTTCCAGGCTTTAGTTTGGTACGAGTGTTGAGATGAATGACATGGAAGACGACGTTGAGATCTCCTTTCCAGTAAAGGTAAATGCTGATCTTTAACAGCCACAGTGTTGTTGCAGAGTGTTGAAAAATATTCTCAGCTCTGAGATTACTTATTTTTTATTCAACTTTATTTGTATACTTGATAGGTAGCAACCAAATAAAACATACTGTGTAAAGTAAAATGCTAAGTAAAGTTCTTATTATTACTATTATTTAAAAAAAACCAAAAACAACACTTTCCACTTGTTTCTGTAAACTGTAGTTTCTCGGTCGAGTAGAGGTGGTCCGCCCCGATGGAATACAGATCCTGGACGAAGCCGCTCAGAACCTCAAGGTGAGCCACCGACATATTTAATACATTTACAATGTTACTTTTAGTCGTGCTGGTGTCATAGATCATCCATTCATGTAGTCAGCGACCATCCGGTCCACACTGACATCATGAAGTGTTGAAAAGAGCGCCCAACACCTCTGCCACGCCACATATGAGAAACTGTTCTTGAAATCTTTTACACTGCTCTGTGGATGTTTTGCACAACTTTGAGATAATTTTTCACAACTTTGTAGTTGTTTTGTGTCTCTTTGTGGTTATTCTTCCGTGTGTGGTTGGTTTGTACCCCTTTGATGTCCCATTTTAGCCTTTTTATGGTTGCTGTGTATTTATTTGTGGTGCCCCGTGCCTCTTTGTTGCTTTGCATCTCTGTGATTATTTTGTGTGAGCGGTTGTCTTGTTCCTCTTTGTACTTGTTTTGCTCACTTTTATGATTTGTTCTCTGTGTTTGTGGTTGTTTTGTATCCCTATTTTGTTATGTCCTGTCTCTTTATACTCATATCAAGTCTCATAAACCCTTTTATTGCTCATAATAATAGAGCAGCGTCAACGTATCCAGTGCATTGGGTCATGACCAAATATGTAAATACCACCAGCCTCTGCTCCACCTAATTGGGCAGCTGGTAAGTGCTAGCTTGCAGACATGCATATATTGGTTTAATTATGCTTGAGCTATTAGAGCCACCGCTTCAGCTCCTACAGGGCTGCTAACATGGCTGCAGACTCTCATTATTGTCTATAATGTATCCCTTTAAAATAGTCTTGTATTCTAGTAGGGAACGGCCAACTTTGTGTGCATCTGCAGGATTATTTTTACTGTTTAAATGAAACAACTTTGTGTGTTTTTGTCATTCCTAGACTTCAGATGAATTCTCCTCTGAGAAAGCTGCAAAGAAGAGCAAAGTCCATCTCTTCCTGTCTCTGAGTGGGATAGACATTTTGGAAAACAAAACCAAGGTGTGTGACAAAAGTGTCCTAATTACAAAACTGCTCATTCCCATGATGTATTCAGCTTTCATGATGTTTTAAAATGTTAATTCTCATCATCTTCCCTTCCCTCAGTTCCTATTGTACTCGTGCAACCTCTCTACTATTTCCTTCTGTGCTGTCCATCCTTCTTCACCCAAAGTTTTTGGGTTTGTGGCCAAGCACCCTGCAGCGGATACGTACCACTGTTATCTCTTTCAGAGCGCAAAGTTTGTGAGTATTCCCAAGGCTGAAACTAAAGACCAACTTTGAAGTCTGGTGTTGGTAGAGCAGAAGACTACAAATCCACAGCTAAATGACATATTCTGGTTTCTAGTGTCCCAGATGTGATTTTTTCTGAATTACTTTTCAGTCTCACGTGCTGGTCTCAGTTATTGGGGACGCCTTTCGAGTTTCAAAGAAGGAGGAGACACCCAGAGTAGGACGAGACATAAAAGTGGAGGCACTCCAACATAAGGTCAGTCCTGAGTTGTCATGGCTGTTTTTTTTTTCTATTTCTGTTAAAGAACTTACAGAGCTTATGAAATTAAATATTTCCAATGTTCACGAAAGCTTTAAATGAGTCTCTCAATCTTTTTAATACTTCTTTTTCAGAATAAAATGCTGCAAAGAGAGAATGATAAGCTGAAGAGGAGGCTTGCAGGAGAAACTGATGACTGATGATTGCATACAATGTTGCTGTTGTGGGTACATATAAATACACAACGAGCGTGAGAGACTGCTTCCTTTTAAATTTTACATGATGCTGAAATAAATATGTCTGTAATTTTCTTTTCAGCGTCGAATCCATTTTAGCTGCTTTACCCAAATCCTTCTACTAGATGGCAGCAGCGAGTTGTCATTCTCACTGTTTGGCAAGTCTCTGGATGCGTTCAAGTGTTTTAAAAAGATAAGAAATATTGCACTTAATTGTTTCACTTACAGTTAAAAATAAAAAACAAACAAACAAACAAATGCTTTAACATCACTCAGAACACTTTGAAATGTTTGATGAAGTCTGTAATTTTAAAGAGCTGTCTTGTAAGAAATAAAAATGTATTTCATTTAAACGGCCATTTGTAGTGTAGATGTTTCTAACTGTGCTGTGTGTCAATAATAGATTAATTAATGTTATAATGCTTGACTTGTAAAACACGACATAACTGAATTGAAAATTGAAAATTCGTTTCATTACCATTGGTAGCAGTAGCATTTGTTATGCATTTGCTGTGTATTGGATCGGACACTTGAAGGCAACAATATGTAAACTTTATTGAGAAAGTAACTGGGAGCGGCGGGAGCCCGAGGCTGTTTTGTTGAAAGATGTGACTTTATGCTAACGACAGCTAGTTTTGTCTAAAGGGTATTTAAAGTTTACTCAGTCATGCTTACGGACGTCTCCCATAACTCACCACAGGTGCTAACCGAGAAATTGTGCGTTAGCAGATTAGCTAGCCGAGAGACGTCACTCTGTGGCACGGCGTAAACTTTGCGAGTTCAGCGACATTTGGTGTGTTTTCGTTTAGCCGAACACAATTATCTGTAAATCACCGAGTCTTCACTTTTTGGGGGGCTCCTTATTATCCACCTCCGAACGGGAGACTCTGGCTCTGCTGTCTTTACCACCCACAAACACCCGCCATGGGGACGCGGTGGTCTCGTAGCGGCAGCAGCCAGTCTCTCCTCACGGAGGAGCAGAGGGTAACGCGGTACACTGAACGCAGAGACTCCGATAATGACTCTTTGGATGGACTAGTCCGGCGCGAGGACATAGCCCAGTTCCCGTACGTGGAGTTCACCGGCAGAGACAGCGTAACTTGTCCGACCTGCCAAGGCACTGGACGCATACCTTCAGGTGAGTAGAAAGAGTTGATAAATCAGTAAGCTTTAGTGTCGGACAGTCAGTCTGTGTTGATATGAGCACAGTTTCTGCTCATTTAACGCCAAAGATAAGGCGCAGAATTCCTAAAAGGTGTTTTCAAGTGTTTGGCATGGGAAAAAAACATGGTCAACATTTTAAGTGTCGTAAAAGGCTTGTTGGTCTCTAATCTGTGACGCTTAAATGTCTAAGTTTGACCAAGAAGGACTGGATTGATTATAACGTAGGTACAGTAAAGCAGAGCCATAAAGATAAAACAAATAATTTCTTTATTTTACTTGTAACCCCTTCATAAATCCTGTTGACTACAGTCTAGTTACTAATATAAGAAAATCTATTAGACATAAAAGACGCAGATATCAGCCAGCGTGGTCAGTGTTGGCTCATACTGACATTTAGCTAAAGTTGTGCTGGTAATTCTGAACGAGACACATTGAGTTTGTTTTGCAAGGTTTCTGAAGCTCTGTGAACAAATGGAAAAATCAAGAAATGACTAGATTGTCCAGAAAACTGATCTCCACTTATCCACTAAGAAAGCACTTAAAGTAGAGTTTATGACCCACCGTGCATAACGCAGAACTTTGACCTCACACGAGGCCATGTGACACCAGCAATATGAACGATGAAATGAAACGTGGGTGCAAACAAGATGCTGAAAATGTACATTGTACAGATATGAAGGGGCACAGCTGTACAATTATGAGCCTGTCAGACATCAGAGAGGCCAGGGGGTGATGTCGGCATTTAAGTGCCATTTATTGAGGTTTTGTTTTCTCTCACCATCCCTGATCCTCCCGTATGGAAAAACTGCTCCAGAAGGTGAAAGTGAAAGAGCTGCATTCACAGAAACAACCGCATGAGTTGTTGTAATCACGCATTCCTGACTTCTAAATTCCAAATCTGGAATATCTTCAGAAGCATAATCACCTTGTCCATCACAGAGGCAGGAGTCCCATTGTTTGCTTGGCTAATGTCTGAGGATGATGGTCTATGAGATGTACCTCATCCTCTGGTACTTTTTTGTCCATAGTACTCCCAGAGCAGATTAATTTAAGTAATGACATACAGCTATGTGTGGTTCCCTGTGCTCATACAGTATAGCAACATAAAATAACTTGGTACTATGCTGTATGTTTTATACAATTTTGTGTCTCACCTAATAAAATGTGTTAGAGTAATGATTAGATTCATGAAGAGCTGCACCAGTGAATCTGTTAAACAGAAGCTATTATTTTAAGTTGGGGGTTCGTTTGCTTAGCTGTAAAAGGCTGACGGGGTATTGTCATCACCCTGCCAAGTGGACGGGCAGGCAGGATGTATGGACAAGTTTGTGAATGCAATAACGCACAAATGAGGGGAAGTAGGAGCTTCAAATTGATACCATTTGTGTTTCTACTAAGATGTCAGATGAGTTTGAATCTCAGTGACCTCAACATTAGGGTCAGAGTAAGTTTTCTGTATGTAAACAAGGTGACACAGGATTTTGAACTTGATACCACAGGTGTGTTACCTGGGAAGCGGAGGGGTAGCACTTTTAGCTGCCAGTATTTTTTGAACAGGGAACAGATGTGCTGTGTTTAATTTCTCAGTCTTTGTCGTCTTTCCAAAAAAACAGTTTTAATGGGAAATGCTAAACATCATTTTTCTTCTTGCTCTGCAGAACAAGTGAATGAACTGGTTGCACTGATCCCGTACAATGACCAAAGACTGCAACCCCAAAGAACGTGAGTAACTGCAGCGCA